TGCATTTGATTTTTTAAAAATTTTATCTAGGAAGGAGTTGAGCCTTTCTCCCCCAGCAGTTAAGATTGCTGACCATGGTGCCAAGTAACCAAACTACTGTGGTGACAGAGTTTCTCTTCTCTGGATTTCCCCAACCTGAAGATGGCATCTTCTTCTTCATTCCTTTGCTCCTCATCTACATATTCATCATAACTGGGAACCTCACTGTGTTTTTTGCAGTCAGGATGGATTCCCGTCTCCACAACCCCATGTATAATTTCATCAGCATTTTCTCATTTCTGGAGATTTGGTACACAAGTGCCACGATTCCCAAAATACTCTCCAACCTTATCAGTAAGCAGAGGACCATCTCCATGATTGGCTGCCTCCTACAGATGTACTTCTTCCATTCGCTGGGCAATTCCGAGGGCATTTTGCTGACCACCATGGCTATTGACAGGTACGTTGCCATTTGTGACCCTCTCCGCTACCCAACCATCATGACCCCCCAGCTGTGTGCTCAGCTCTCTGCAGGGTCCTGCATCTTTGGCTTTCTCGTACTGCTCCCAGAGATTGCGTGGATTTCTACCCTGCCCTTCTGCGGCCCCAACCACATCCATCAGATCTTCTGTGACTTTGAACCTGTGCTGCGTTTGGCCTGCACAGACACCTCCATGATCCTGATTGAGGATGTGATCCATGCGGTGGCCATCATCTTCTCAGTCTTGGTTATTGCCATTTCTTATATAAGAATCATCACTGTGATCCTGAGGATCCCCTCTGTTGAAGGCCGCCACAAGGCTTTCTCTACCTGCGCAGCCCATCTTGGGGTCTTCCTGATGTTCTATGGCAGCGTGTCCCTCATGTACCTACGATTCTCAGCCACTTTCCCACCAATTTTGGACACAGCCATTGCAATAATATTTGTCATTCTTTCTCCTTTTTTCAACCCTATCATCTACAGTTTGAGAAATAAGGACATGAAAGTAGCCATTAAGAAGCTTTTCTCAGCACCACATAAAAATAAAGGCATTGTGTTGTGTCCATCTACACCTAAAAATAAAAATAAAAATAAAAAAAGAAACTTTTCTGCCCTTAGTAGATGTTTATTGCATTTGAAAGTTAATTCTAGCTCATGGGAATTCATCACTGTAGATGCTACTCTAATGTACTACACCCATAATATGAGCAAATACCACATTCAGTGTCATGCTAACATTTTTGGTCTCTTTATTCTTGTTCTCCTTCCCATTTATTTGTTTATGTGTGATTCATTAAAACAGCAGGTATTATCTGACTAATGTGACACAGATAGATAAAATGTACAAAACAAATGATGGTTAAGCCACTAAAATGGCTTTATGTACACTTATTTTATTAGTTTTATATAAACATTATTACTTATGGCTTAGATTACATAAACATCAATAATTAATCATGACCACAGATTATAAAACATAATAGTTAAAAGATAAGATCTATGAAAGAAGGGCTGAGGTTGTAGCTCAGTGGTACAGTACTTGCCTAGCAAGTGTGAGGCACTGGATTTGATCCTCAGCACCACATAAAAATAAATAAATAAAACAAATATATTGTGTCCATCTATAACTAAGAAAAAAATTAAAAAAAACAAAGATCTATGAAAGAGGTCATGATTCATATTTCAGTGGTACTACACAGTCACTTTGAGACCTTTAATAAATTATTAAATTCTCAGTATTTTAGTTCCATTTTCTACTGCCATAAAAGTAATATATTTTAAAATTGGGACTACATATGTTTAATGAATATTAAGTAAGTTTTTTTATGCTACACTTAGAATATTGCATAACAGTAAAAGTACAAAATGAATATTATCTATTACTTGCCACTAATTGTTAGTATTTCTTTTGATGTTGTAAAGATTTGTATAATAAACAATGATATATTAAAAATGAAACATAATCTTAGCTATAATGAGCTATGATTGTTATTTATAACGTTTTCATTGCTTATTTTTCTGAGGCCCAGTAGAAGTCAATCTTCATTTTGCTTTGATTATTATGGTTGAATTTGTGCAATTTAATTGAAGTAAACTGTTTAGTTGGAAACATTCTCAAACACATTCTGGAGAGAGAGATGATAGATAGAAATAGAGATAGAGATATGACTTTTCCATGTATTTTTGTATGACACTTGCTTTCATTTTTGTGTTCTCTGAAGTGCTTTCTGTGCATTTCCATCAGAAATCATTTCTTTCTTCTTACCAGTAAAGGTTTATCATGAAAAGAAAAGGGCTGGGTTTTCACCTCCGGGTGAAGGGAGAGGATTGATTGAAATAGATGTCAAAACTTCCCATGAATGGCCCTGCCTTTTAAAGAGTGGCAGGATCTGGGAAGTTCTGACTTTCTTGTGATAAAAATTTTAAGAAGCTTTTCTTTTGTAGAAGATTCTTGCAGATGTCTTCTGACATTTTCAAGCACCTCATGTTTGTGGTTTTTCTTGTTGTCTCAGCTTAATTGGGAGGCTGAGGCAGGAGGATCTGATCACAAGTGGTAGACCAGGCTCTGAAACTTTGAAGACTCTTTCTCAATAAAATAAAATTAAATTAAATTAAAAATTAAAAAAAAGGTCTTGGTATGTAACTCAGTGGTGGAGTGCTTCTAGGTCTCTAATCCCTAGTACTACGCATAAATGAGTAAATGTTGATACAATATCAGTGAGAAATTCACCAAGAGATAGAGATTTTTTTTTTAAAAGGAACCAAATGGAAATCATGGAAATAAAGAGCTTAATAGATAAAATAATAAATATAGTTGAAAGCCTCAACAACTGAGTAGAAAGAATCAAGCAAAAGGAGGAATATCTGAACTTGAAGAGAGGTCTTTTAAATGTCCCTGTCACACAAGAAAGGAGAGAAAGAAGGAAGATAGGCAGGCAGGCAAAAAAATGAAGATAGTATTCAAGACCTTCCGCATAAATTTGAAAAAAAAAATGCACATTTTTAAAGCACATGAAGGAGAATAAAATGTTAAGGGCATAAAAATTCTATTCTATCAAACGATATCTTAAAATGTTGCTCATCTTGAGAAAGATAATGGTTATCCATATGCAGGAGGACTACAGGGCCCCAAATTGTCATTAATGAGAGGTCCTCACCAAGGAATACTATAGTCAAGTGACCAAAAGTATAAGACACAGAAGAAACTACTAAAAAGTATAAGAGAATAGTATCAAGTCACATTTAATGTTACGCCTACTAGACTATTAGCAGGTTTCTCAGCAGAAACCTTAGAAGCCAGGAGCAAATAGAATGAAATACTCCAAGTCCTGAAAGAAAATGACTAGCAACCAAGAGCACTGTACTCAGTAAGGTTATCTTTCAGAAACAAAGAAGAAATAAAGACCTTTCAAAACAACAAAAACAGGGCATGCCCCACCACCAGAGGAACATTATAAAGCCCACCTGCCAAAACTTTTGTGATGTAACAAAAGCAGAACTCAAAGGGAGGTTTATAACAATAAGCACTATATATTATATGTGATTGTTTTATAATATTTCAAATAAATAATAATGTAAAGATGCATTTTGGGAAGAGGGTACGAGGTATTGAACTCAGGGGCACTCAACCACTGAGCTAAGTCCCCAGCCCTATTTTGTATTTTATTTAGAGACAGGGTCTCACTGAGTTACTTAGTGTCTCCTCATTGCTGAGTCTGGCTTTGAACTCACAATCCTCCTGCCTCACCCTCCTGAGCCTCTGGGATTACAGGTGTGCATCACTGCGCTCAGCAAAAATGGATCTTAATAAATTAGAAAATCAAGGAAAACTCCAAATCTGAATTTAGTAGAAAGAAAGAAATAACTAGAATCAAAGCATAAATAAATGAAATAGAGACTAAAACCAATAAACCAGAACCAAAACAAACCCACAAATCAATGAACCAAAGAGCTGACCTTTTGAAAAGATAAATACGACAGACATACCTTTGGCTAAATTAACCAAGAAAAACAAAGAAAATACTTAAAGAAAAGTAGAGATGAAAAAGGAGACTTTAAAACCTGTACCATAGAAATGTATTAAGGCTTATTATGAACAAGTTTATGCTAACAAATTGGAAAATCTAGAAAAGAAGGATAAATTTCTGAACACATGTAAACTACCAAAGTTAAATTGCCAGGACAGAAAAAACCTGAATAGGTCAACAAGTGATGAGATTGGATTGTGACAGTGGTACACTTCATGCTTTGACTATATCCCTCATTGCTCTAAAACTGATGTATTTTTTTTCTTTTTCCAGAACTTCCCTTCCCAGACTTTCTCCTCCCTGACCTTCTCCCTCCCTGACCTTCTCCCTCCCTGACCTTCTCCTCCCTGA